TCCTCGAGTAGCATCCAGCTTCGAGACCACCTTGCTCGGCGTATCCTTGTGTGGACTGCTAGCGAGAGCTTTTCCTCTAGTCTTGGCAGCGCTTGCATCGTCCACCACCTTGCTCGGCGTAGCGCTAGTGAGAGCTTTTCCTCTAGTCAATGTATCCCTGTGTGGACCGCTAGTGAAAGCTATTCCTCTGGTCTTGGCAGCGGTTGCCACCTTGCTCGGGCTAGCTTTCACTGGAGCCTTGGGTGGTTTTGCAGCAGTGGACTTGATAGTCGTATCCTGCACCTCCTTTCTCGGCGTATCCTTGTGTGAAGCGCTAGTTCCTCTAGTCTTGGCAGCGCTTGCATCGTTCACCTCCTTACTCGGGCTAGCTGGAGCCTTGGGAGGTATTGCTCTTGTAGCAGCGGACTTGATAGTCGTACCGTGCACCTCCTTGCCTGGAATCCTGAGAGATTTTCCTCTCGCGTCCACCGCCTTGCTCGAACTATCTTTGGCTGGAGCCTCGAGAGCTTTTCCTGTCGTAACAGCAGCACGCTTGGTAGCAGAATCGTCTCCCGACCTGTCCCTGCCTGGAGCCTTGAAACACGTAGAAGGACACTTGATAGTCGGAGCTTTTCTACTTGGAGCAGCGTCGGGAGCTTTAGCAGCACTTGGAGCGTCCATCGCAGCGTCAGGAGCTTTAGTCATCGTAGGAGCATCCATCGGAGCGTCGGGAGCTTTATCCTTCTCGGCAGCACTTGGAGCGTCCATGGGAGCTTTTCTCTTCTTAGCAGCGTCCATCGCAGCGTCAGGAGCTTTTCTCTTCGTAGGAGCAATTGGAGCGCCCATCGGAGCGTCGGGAGCCTTATCCTTCTCGACAGCACTTGGAGCGTCCATCGGAGCGTAGGGAACCTTTCTCTTCTTCGCGGCACGCTGGATTGTATCGTCCACCACCTTGCTATCCTTGTCTGAAGCTCTGTGATATTTTCTCTTCTTAGCAGTGGTTGTGCCATCCTCCACCACCTTGCTCGTT